AAATACCATTTCCATCTCGGCGATCCAGTCCATGATCTCTACAGGCTTCGAACTTCCAGAAAGCCTTGGTGGCTTGGAACCCAATAAGTTTTTATACATGTGCCCATCCCTTTGAGTCCTTCTGTCCCGGTCATTCCTCCTAACCATTTAGGGTTCAGTTTGGCTCACAGTCTAACTATAGTTTCCTTCATCAGATTGCTCAATGTTCAGCTCAAGTTGTTCAACAGGCATAGTAGGCTCGTCCATATTCTGTTGAAGTAAACGCCTCGATTCCTCCATATAATGATCCAACATCATTTGGATCATTGCATGCATTCCTGCCATAGTGATTGGATCAGGTGCAGTCGCTACTTCTGGTGTATGCTCAATCATTGGCTGTTGATTAACATTCCCATTGGCGTTTCCACTTCGAGTTCTTGCCATTTCGATCTATACACCAAATCAGACGTTTGGTGTGTAATGATGAGAACAGGAAGGTTTTATTTACAATCGATGTGTAAACCTCCTTATCACTCTGAAAAGTTATATGCCAGTTCTAATACCGTAGTTAAACGTTTAGAAATTTGAACACATAAAATTTACAGATCCATTCGGCAACAGACCATATATTCGATCATATAATGCATATCGTAAATCATTTAGCACATAAAAGCATTTTTAGGCATCTTTCCTAAAATAAGCTAGTGATTGTGTCTACTCAGGTGTAATACCTAAATTATATTAGACACAATCAACTCATAATCATCGCTTACCATTCTAAGTTTATGTTTAGAAATAAATCCTTATTCCTAGTTCTCTTAAACTAATGCTCTGATACCAACCGTGACATCCCCATTTTCACGTCCAGAAAAAACCGATTTTTTTATGCTTTATTTTAAAAGTAGAGTATCTTTTAAAGAAATATGTTGCAGAATTTGTTCCTAGAAAAACATGATAAATACATTATCAAATCATTTCTAAAGAAATTCATTTTATTCATTTTAAAACATTGGGATGTTATTGTCATTACAGAAACATAAGCATAAACAGACCTTACATTCTTTTACACTAGTGAATTACATCTCTTTTAATCTCTTAGTATAATGTAGATTCGTATCGACACCTGTGATACAAATAAACTGAGTGGGTCATGTTGGGAAACCTGGAGAGTACATAGGGATTTCAATCCCACAATGTTATATATATATATATATATATATATATATATATTATTACTCGCAAGTATACAATTTCACCATGTATAAACAACTCTTACCCCACCTCGTTGATCCTCACAACGACACTATCCGTACTCTCGAACCATAAAATTTATCTCTTTACTTAATCCATACTCCCAGACCTAATCCATGCTCTCGGATCAATAACCATGTCCATTCCATACTCTCGGGCTAGGGACAATTGTCTATGTCTAAATCTATACTCTCGGATTAATAACAAATAACTATGTCCTATCCATACTCTCGGACTAAGGACAACTGAGTATGTCTTAATCCATGCTCTCGGATTAATGACAAATGACTTTGCCCAATCCATACTCTCGGATTAGGGATGAATGACTATGTCTAATCCATGCTCCCAGATCAATGACATATTTTAATGTTCTATTCTCCATGTATATCTCACTTGTACTCATAAGAAGATACTAACCAATATGCCTCATAATTAATTTAGATTTATTCCATATCCTAAATCATCATATATTATCAGGTATGTTCTTTAACACGTATTTCGGGCAACATCAAATAATTCACACATAAACATATATTTAATACTTCAATCAATAATTGTATTAAAATCATGTTCATGAAAAGGACTATGTACTCACATGTTAAAGTGATGATTCCAAACTCGGGCAACGCTTCACATCTAACGATTCAATTTTCCTTTGACGAAACCTATCACTATTATTGCTAAGTTTTAGTCTAATCTTTATTACGAGTAATTATTAGTCTAGATTCATCATTAAGTCAAATTCTACTTTCAAGATCTATTAAGTATGGAACAAATAGGTAGGATCATATCGGAGGTAGGGTCAGTTTGGTACACAAAGTATACTGTTTGGAAATTCCACTTTAAGCACCTCAATAAATTATAGCCCAAACATCATCCCCGTAAGTAGATCAATCAGTATAACGACTTGGAATCATTGATAAATCTTGTTTATAGGTTCATAATAACGATATCATATTTAAATATAAGCTATATTTAATGTAGTGTAGGTGTATCTCACTTACAGTGGGTTTTGCTAAAAACCGGGCTCCGCTAGAGCAAAGCTTTTGAGAAGAAAAGATCTTTTTTTCTCAGAGATGTCGGGCGCTCCGGAGCTTTCTTTTAGCGCTATGGGAGTTTCCTAGGGCTTTAGGGGCTTTTAGGAGGTTTAGAGAGAAGTTAGAGAGAGAAAGAGAAAGGTGAAGATGTGAAGATATGAGGGTGGAAGGGGTTCTATTTCTAGGCTGAAATATGGCTCAATTTGGTGCCACATGTCACCATCTGGTGGCAAGAATTGGGGAGAAAGCAATGGCCCATATTCAGCCACATCACCCCTTCGTAGCAGCACCCTTCCGACTTCTAAACCTCGTAACTTTTGAATACGGGCTCTGTTTTCAACGTTCTTTATATCCACGCATAGGTGGAGACATAATTACAACTTTCATTTAGACTCCGTTGGTTAAATCTTGACCTATTTTAAATTTAACAGTATGAGAATATTACACTGTTAACGACCGTGTAAAATTCATAACTTATACATACAGACTTTGTTTTCAATTTTCTTTATATCATTGAGCTCCTATTAATGAGATATTTAATTATCTTTTCGATTGTGTTGGATAAAAATTTCTCGATCTGAAATTCAAATTTTGGGTTGTGCAATGCTTTGCTAAATCTTAGAAAAATCATAACTTCCTCATACGAAGTCAGATTTGGACGTTATTTTTATGCACGTTCTCGGTATAACATATACTATGACTTTTATTTAGACTGCTATGGCTAAAAAGTAATTTATCAAAAATTCACTTTTTACGTTATGCGGTGTCATGTCGGTTTAGCCGTAAAACATCGACGAGTCATAACTTCTTCGTTATAACTCGGATTTCAGCGTTCTTTATATGTACAGAACCCTTGTGAAGTATACTATAACATAATTAATATTATTTATTCTAAGTAGTCTTCTATTAAAAAATTCATTTTTGACGCTTATTGTCTCCAGATTGACTATCCCGAATCTGCAAGCGCTACATCATACTTTGGAAGTAAGTAATGAATTGGGTTGTATATTGTCTAAAGGTTTAGACATAGAAATGTTTTGATGGAACATTCATGAGTACTTTTCAAATGGGGATTTAAGTAATGGATTAAACTGACGCTTAGTGAATTACTTCATGGAATTTGTCACGAGTAATTTTGAGACAATAATATCGTAGAATATTTAAACAGAGATGGATGAGTTGTTGTTTACGAGTTGGTTGTGCATTGATAATGCATAAAATGCATCATTAACTTGATGTTATAAAATGTATTGTTGTGCATGATTTTATAAGTAAATAGTGCAATCATATAAGTCAAAGTTTATCAGTTCCTTTTTCCCTTAAGGGAAAAACGATATCTTGGGCCCCTCGATGATTTGGTGTTGACTTATATGTCGGGCCCGATCAGAATTGAATTGGTGTGTTCAATTGTAGTTCCTTTTCATTACAAATCAGATATCGGAAAACAAATTGTTGGACAATGAGAATGATTATGTTCCATGTCATTTGTCGATATATGATATCTTGCAGAACGGAGGATTATATGATCACTTATCTTAGGACTCATTACTGACCAGGTCAGTGTTTGACAGCGGCTTTGACGCTATAAATTTCTAGTCAATTTTTGAAGTTATAGTTGCAATTATAGTTATTAGACTCATCCAAGTGGGAGACTGTTGGATTAGGTGTCTAAGCTCATAACTATAATCTGTATGTACTTGAATTGATAGTAACATAGTCCTTTTGGGTTGCATTCATACTAGCAACTAGACAGGATGACCTATTGAGAAAGAGGAAGAATTTATTATTTGGAATAATAAATTAATATAAATGATTTATTAATATGTTATGGAAACAATATATTAATTGGAAATCAGATTATTTAATTAATATTTAATCAGAAATTAATTTGGAGTTAATTTCGGGATTAAAGGAAATAAATAAAAGTGTAGGGGCTATTTAGCAATTTATTGATAGTTGTGAAATTGGGCTCTTAGACCTCTCTATAGAGGGTTAGATGAAAACTTCTAGGGAGGCCCTAGAATTTTCGTCCAAGGCCTTATGGGTGAGGGTTCATGGGCTGCTTAGGCCTTAAGCTAAGGATTTAGGGTTTCCTCCTTAAAAGTCTAGCTTTGGGTCTAAGAAACCAACAACTATATAAATGACATAACCCCTCTTGATTTCGGCCAATGCTCTCTAACCCTAAGTATAGCCATAATTGTGAAGTATCTTCCTCCTCTCTCTCCTATCATCCTCTTGCTAAGTGTGTTTGTAAGCCATTAGAGGTGTTAGACTTGTGACACTTGCTCTTAAGTCCAAGATCTTCAAGGATTTCATTGTTATTACAATATAAAAATCAGTATATATATATATATATAATATTATATATATATATATATATATATATATATATATATTTATAGGGAAATCTCCATTTTAGTCCTATTATTTTACCCGCGTTTATGATAAAGTCCTAAATTATTAAATGCTAACGAAAAAGCCTAAAATACCGGATAAAACGGCGAGTTGACCCAATTTACCCGGTTACCACTCTTGCAACCGGTGACAAATCGATGTGGCATTAAATGAGATTAGGTGGAAGGTGAGTCGACCAAATCACACACCCATTCCTTCAACGGTAAATCACACACACTTATGGAAATATCTTCTCTATAGACGACATTAAATTAGGGTTTTTTACGTGTGAAGAGACGACAAGTGTGGCCACGAGTTCAAGTCTTCCAAGCTTTGCAAATGGAAGATGTTTGGGATTTTGATACTATTGATGTTGAAATAGACAAGGATTTGAAGAAGCAAACCAAGAGATACAATGATGCGTTCTTGAACAACTTGTGTCCTGACATAGCTGGTGAAGAAGGTGATGACTTTGCAATCCCTTAAATTGAACATATAGATGACGATGTTGACTTAAATGAAGATGATGCTGTGGAGAATGAAGATCAATTTGACTTAATGCGAGAAGGAAGTGGGTCTGATGAAGAAGTATCAAGTGAAAGCAACCAAGATTCTAAGCATGAGTTCGAGTACAGCACCCACGATCCAACGGTTAAATGGAACAAGATGAGACCATTTCTGGGAGAGAGGTATGAATCACCCCATCAACTAAAGTTATGTTTAACTAACCATGCTATTCATACTGGTTATAAGATAAAGTTCAAGAAATGTGACAGTCTTAGGCTAGTTGCTGTATGTGCTAGTGATCCACAAAAATTTCAATGTCCATTTAATGTTAGGGCTTCGTGGATGAACACTGAGAGGTCGTTTCAAATTAAGAAACTTGTTGACAAACATAAGTGTGTTAGGAATTACAGAAATACCAACCTTATGGGTCCAACATGGTTAGGAAACAAGTTTCTGAAAGAACTGATTAGGAAGCCCAATTTGAAGTGTAAGGAAATGCAGGTAATTATCCAAAGTAGATTCCACTGCAATGTGTCCTGGTCAAAGTGCTATAGAGCAAAGTGTAGGGCCATGTCTTTGATACAAGGGAGATTGAGTGACCACTACGCTAAAGTATGGGATTTTGGTGGTGAGCTGTTGAGATCAAATCCAGGTAGTTCAATTAAAATTATTGTCAGTCAAAACCAGGATAACACAACTACTTTCCAAAGAATATATATCTGTTTTAAGGCAATAAAAGAAGGATGGAAGGTTGGTTGTCGTAGGGTTATTGGGCTAGATGGTTCTTTTTTAAAAGTTCAATGCAAGGGAGAATTGTTAACTGCTATAGGGAGAGATGCAAATAATCAAGTGTATCCCATTGCCTGAGCTGTAGTTGAAATAGATAACAAGGTAAACTGGAAATGGTTCTTGGAATTGTTAAGAGATGATTTAGAATTGGATGGTGGAAGGGGTATCGCAGTAATTTCTGATCAACACAAGGTACTTCACAAAACTTTAGTATTTGTTTACTATATATTTCATACTTAGGTTATCTAATGTAATTGTGTTTGTTATGAATAGGGTATTCTTGAGGCTACAAAGGAAGTTCTACCACTTGCACAACACAGACAATGTGCCAGACATATATATATGCCAACTTCAGAAAGGTGTATACTGGTGTGTTGTTTAAAAATATGTTCTGGGCTGCTGCAAAATCAACTGTTGAAGGGGAGTTCAACATGAACATGCAAAAGATTAGTGATATTAGTCCATCTGCTTATGAACATCTAATGGCAAGGGATCCCAGTTCATGGTGCAGGGCCTTCTATGGTGGAGGATTGGCATTTGAGGCAGTAGAAAATGGAATGGCTGAATGTTTTAATGCAGTTATCGTGGATGCTAGAAAAAATCCCCTACTGACTATGCTTGAGGAAATACGACTATACATGATGGAAAGATTCTATAATCTAAAGGAAGTAGGACAGAACTGGGATACTGAAATATGTCCAACAGCAATTAAGAAGATGGAAGCATTTGGTGAAAGTTTAAAGTAAGTTATCCTATAATTTAATTCACTAATATTATTTTTCATATGTTGATGTATTCTTAATTACAGGTCCTGGTATGTTCATCCTAGTGGTGTAACTGCTTTTGAAGTGAGGAATAGTTTTTACTCTTATTGTGTTAATTTACAAGCGTATTCTTGTACTTGTAATTTGTGGGCTGTATCAGGGATACCTTGTGTACATGCCCAAGCTGCCATTATGTATACACAACAAGATCCTGTGAGCTACATTAGTAGTTGGTTTAGTAAAGAGAAATATATGTTAACATATGGTTCCAACATACTACCAGTCAATGGTAGCAATATGTGGGTGGAATCTCCTTATCCAAAGCCCCTTCCACCTATTGAAAGAAGGATGCCAGGAAGGCCAGCCATCAAGAGAAAGAGGCATGTTTCTGAACATGAGGACAAGTTTTCACAAGTATCATCTAAGGGCATAACTGTCCAATGTACAAACTGCCAGCAAAAGGGTCACAATAAGGTCTCTTGCAAAAATCCCAAGGTGATCCCTGAACCAAAACCAAAGAAGAAAATGGGAAGGCCTAAGTTAGATCCTAATCTTACCCATTGGAGAAGAGGTGGAAGAGGAGGTGGTAAAGGCAATAGAGGTGGAAGAGGAGGTGGTAGAGGTGAACCTAATGCTAAGGTTGAACCTGAGTTTGAGGTTAAACCTGAGGTTGAGGTTAAACCTGAGTTTGAGGTTAAACATGATGTTGTGGATGAGGGGGATGGAATTGATATATCAGATATGGATATAATAGTCAGTTCCATTCTAAATTTGAGGTCATCAAACTACAGTGATGCTGAAATAATGTCTGTTCTTGGAATTAATGAATCTCAATTGAAGGAGTTTGGGTGTTTAAATGTGGTGAGTGTTTAATTTTAAGGGCATTACAAATAGAAGCCAATTTTTTAAATTATTTGTTTTTGTATTCAGGAAACCAATGTTCAAGAAGAGACTCAAACAGTACAAGTGAATGAAGAAGAGATCAATGAAGAAGAGGTCAATGATGAGGATATGCAAGAAATCATGAGGAGCAACACCCAACAAATCAGAAGGAGGAAGCCATCAGAATGGATAACTGAGTTAAAGTTGAAGAAGCAGGTGGTGAGCAACTTTGGGATGACTAAAAGCACACCACTTAATGTTGAATAGGGCAAATGATTGTGATATGGTAGCCCCTTTTTTGTAATTAAGTCATTGTGTTGGCTTTATATAACTCTTTGGGTAAAAATTTCTCTTTTTGTAAATTTTTTGGAAAGTCAAACACTGTGACATACTTTGGTATGTAGTTTGGTATGGTTTATAATGTTATTTTGAAAGTCAAACACTAACAGTTTCCTATAGTTATTTGGTATGTACTTTTGTATGGTTTGTGATGAGAAATAGAAATCAATAGATAATGAAATAAGAGAAACAGGAAGAATCAGAGATGAAGAAGATGATATCATTAAATCTAATGAAATGAATTACAAACTATATTGAATGAAGCAATAACCTTAAACAATCCCAGGGAATCTCCCTCTCTCACTAACTAAATGCTAAGAGCCAAGAACATTGAACAATACTTAATCGACATCCCCAAAATGAAATTACTCTTCCCTCTTTATTCTACACTCTCTCTCTCTCTCTCTCTCTCTCTCTCTCTCCCTAACTGACTGTCTAGCCACTTTCCATTTTTGCCCTTCTGTCCTTTTTAGAATGCACATGTAATATTCCTAGTTTATTTATAGGGACCCTTATTTATATCAAGGCCCAACCATTCTGAATCTGTATCAGTTTGTAATGCAATTTCCTATAGTTATTTGGTATGTACTTTTGTATGGTTTGTAATGCAGTTTCCTATATATTTTTGGTATGAACATTCCATAAGAAACATAATTAAACATCCAAAAATTACAACCAAAACCCAAACAATTACAATCAGACCAAATATGCATTTCATACTCATATACCATTACATTAGAAGATCAATTTTCCACAATTCATACAATTACATTCCAAAACAAACAGGGAATCCTAACATTACATAGAAACATAAGTAAACATCCTAAAATTACATGACCATAACCCAAATAATTGCAATCAAACCAACCAAACACCAAATCTTCCATCCCTTAAGAACCATCACACTTCCACTTGCAGAGGAATCTATTGCACTACTCCTTCCACATCTTCACCCATAAAGTATTCAAACCCTTCATCATTGACTCCATGAATTCCTTGGTTGTGAAAATCATAGATCATATGTTTGTACCAATTGTTTGGTAATGGAGGATCTATCCATTCAAAGAATTTGCAATCCTTTTCCTTATCCTGCATTGGACGACATTTGCAGTGTAACTACTATGGTGTTTAATGGAAATTTCAAAGATTTGAAGATTAAAACCTCACATTTAACTAATATAGTGTTCTTCCGTTTCCATGAAGATAAAAAACTCGCACTCAAAGATTCGAAGATACTCACCTTGTAATTGGGGCAACCAACGAATCTCCTTCCAGGGTTCTTCGGTTTCCATGAAGTCCACCTGCCAACTGGTTCATCACAATCGCACCTTCTTCGAACTTGCCTGGCTGACCTATATGCACTACTGTTGGAGAGGGAGGAGGAGGAGGCCATATTCAAAACTTGCAATTCGGTCGATTTAGGGTTTGTGTACTCTCAACGTAATAGACTGAGGTAAATAAAGAAAGAGAGAGAGAGAGAGGTATGTTTGAGCCAACTTCCATGTAAGCAAAATAATGCCACATCGATTTGTCACCGGTTGCAAGAGTGGTAACCGGGTAAATTGGGTCAACTCGTCGTTTTATCCGGTATTTCAGGCTTTTTCGTTAACATTTAATAGTTTAGGACTTTATCATAAACGCGGGTAAAATAATAAGACTAAAATGGAGATTTCCCTATATATATATATATATATATATATATATATATATATATATATATATATATATATATATATATATATATATATATCCTAATCCTAGTTTATTGTTAATTTTGATAATTATAGATACCTCCTAGGGTTTCTTGTTTTGTGTTCAATACTTGCATGTCCAATAGTGAAAACATAGATCCTATAAACTAGTAGGCCTGACAATTGGGTTGGGTTCGGGTTGGCGGGTCACGGGTTGACGGGTTGGTGGATCAGAAAATATAAACTCAACCCAACTCATATAATATATGGGTTGACGGGTTGGCGGGTCACGGGTTGGTGGGTTCGAAACCACAACCCAACCCCACCCATATAACCCGTTTAAGTATATGGGTTCGCGGATTCACAAGTTAATGGGTCAAAAACCAAACTCATATAACCGTTTAATAAATATGTAACACATTTTAAAAAATGAGGTTTTTTCAAAATAAATTCATAAAATGATTAAAGTAATTAACATAACAAAAGGTTTTCAACATAAATTCATAAAGTCAATAACATCCAAATAAAAATAAAAAATAAAAACATTCATAGAAATTGGATGTGGTCTTTGTTCGTGACTCGTGAAAATAACGACATGTATTTTTTCTTTTTCTAATTAACAAACCGCAAATGCAGATTAGTTACATATGAATATGGAAGGAATACAATGATACAGAATATTACGAATACGAATGGAAATCAAATTTCATTAATAATTAAATATCATTTTTTAAAAATGTAATATATATATATATATATATATATATATATATATATATATATATATATATATATATATATATATATATATATACGGGTTGGCAGGTTGACCCACGAACCCAAACAAATATCATTTTTTTAAGTGTAATATATATATATATATATATATATATATATATATATATATATATATATATATATATATATATATATATATATACGGGTTGGCGGGTTGACACACGAACCCAAACAAATATCCCAAGCCAACCCATGAAATAAACGGGTTTGTGGGTTGGCGGGTTGACGGATCAAAAATCTCAACCCAAACCCGTGTATTTTCGGTTTGGGTCAGTTTCAGGTTACGGGTGGGTCGAGAGTTGTCACCCCTATAAACTAGGGTTGCATTCACACATAGGGATTGTTTGTTATGCTAAAAACCCATCAAATTTTGCAAACAAGTACAAGTTGTATACCTATCCGTGCTTGATTGATTAAAAACCATAGGTTATAAACCTTCCCGTGTACAATTGATTAACAACTACATGTTATAAGCTTGCCCATGTATGATCTATAGGTTGTGCACCTGTTCGTGGAGGACTAAATAAAAAATCTACAATTTGCAAAGTTTTCCATGTTGACCAGACTTGTCTAGATTAGTTTGTGGCTGTCCTCAATACCCTACTAGATGACTAATTCTTGGCAGCACACTAATACCATGCTGGATACAATCCTTAATTATTTATTACTTCATAGAACCCATTACTATGCAATACACTTTAGGTATTATAAAATACTTCAATATAGTATAACTAAGTAATCATATCGAGCACAAGTATTGGAAATCCATACAATAGGTACACATTGCATCTATGTAGTAAAATACTTCACATTTATGTGTAAGATGAATGCAACTATGCACTAATTTGTTAAAGTGATGATTGGAAAGTTGGTAGCGCTACGCTTCTAGAAATCGACTTTTCCTTTGACATAACCTGGTATCATTATCACTAAGTCCTAGTCTAATATTTCTTTATGAGCAATTAATAGTCTAGATTTCTTAATAATCCGAACGTCTATTGATCTATAGCTGATAAGAGACAACCAGATAGGATCATATCAGAGGTAGGATCCCCTTGGTATAAAGAGTATATTGTTTGGAAATCCTACTTTGAACACCTCACTAAATCCAACCTAGACATCATCCCTACAAGTAGATCAATCAGTAATATGATGTTGGAATCACTAACAAATCTTATTTAATGGTTCATAATAACGACTTATGACTCTAAATATAAGTTATAATTAAAGCGTAGTAAGTGCAGCTTAATTTATAAAGGTTTTAATGAAAACCTCGAAACTGTGTTGGCAGAAATCCAACCTGAAAGCTTCTATTTTCCAGGCCCTCTGGTGCGTCAGAGCCTTGCTAAATACCCCTAAGGACTAGAAGAACTTGGAGTCAAGAAGAAAGAAGTATAGGAGCACTTGGATTTGAAATATGTGATCAAATGAAGGATTTTTGCCACTTATTTATAAGCTGCCAGCAACGATTACACCCCACGTAATTTATGTGTATGCCCAACGTACTGTTTTTTGCTACATCCAGCGTAGTGGCGTGTGTAGCAAGCAAAAACGTAGGTAAAACTTCAATATTCAAAAATTCATAACTTTTTCATACGATCTACGTTTATAACGTTCTTCATATCCATGTGTAGGTATTTACGATTACTACAACTTTCCTTTTGGCCCTGTCTGCTAATTCTCGACCAATATTAAATATAACATTATGAGAAGATTACACTCTAATGATCATGTAAAATTCATAAATTCATAACTTCTACATACAAAATCGATTTTAGACTATATTTTTATCATTGAACTCCTATTAACAACATATTCAATTATTGTTTAGATCATTTCGACTTTAGCCAACCGATCTAAAATTCTATTTATGTGCCCACACTGCTATGCTAAAACTTCGAAATATCATCACTTCATCTACTGAAGTCAGATTTGGACGTTCTCTATATGCACACTCATAGTTTAACGAATACTATGACTTTTGTTTAGATCACTTATGATAAAAAGCATTTTATCAAAATCTCATTTTTTACGATATGTAGGGCCATGCCAGTTTAATCAAAAAACTTTAAAGGTTCATTCTTAACCATTAGTTTCAGGCTCTGATATAGGGTTTTCTTGATGTTCCTCAGCTTCATATGGATTTTCAATCCAAGCCATCATTAGATTTGACAATTGAGGATCTCTATCAACATGATACAACATTATTGATTCTTGAGGATAGAACATGAATTAGAATAGATTCTCAATGATTTATGATGTATCACATACCAACATATTCCAGGAATAGAGCATGTCATCTTGGATATGATACATATGTTGGTATCTTTTTGCCACTGATACATTTAACCAATTAATCAAATAAAAGTTGAGCAAAATCTAATTTCTTGTCTCGAGCCAAAGCATACATAATGTATAGTTCAAACAGATTCAACTTGTGTAGATTACCATATTTATGACCATGACATTTTCCAATCACCCCTGTAACATACTTCCAGCTAGCAGGAAGACTCTGATGAAGAACATACATAGAGTCAAGTTTACCATCATGGTAAGAGAAATCATAATTAAGATGTTGTAGGATTGATTGGCATCTTGCTTCAGAAGGGGTCTTTCATAATCCACCATGAGACGAAGACGAAGAACTTGACAAATAGTGGTCGCTGAGATGTGAGCCCTAGAGTAACCATCTCCAACAATTTCAGAGATAGTTTGGCCACTTACATCAACAGTGCAAGAATAATAGAACTCATACACTTGTTTTTGGAAGAAAGGCTTGGGAACATTACTTAGTGGACAGTGCAACAGTAAACGCATGAAGAAATTAACGAAATCTTCCAAGCCTAAACCTTGATGTTGAGGAGCAATAGTGTCGGAGAAGGCGACATTGTTTGCTTGAACAATAATTGGTGTTTCAGGGGTGTTTGGGTCTTTGATTAAATTTCCAGCAAGAATGAAGTCAAATAAAAGAGTTGGAGCCATTGATGATAGACGAAGGAATTTTAACAAATGTGCAACACTTGACATAATGAAGAAGATAATCAGGATATAAGCTTTTTATTGAAAATCATCTGACTTTCCAGATAATAGCAAACAGAGAGATTGTCGTAAAATCCTCGAATCCTACAATGAAGGTTGAATTTATGATAGTACATGTTAAAAAGTTGTCGTTAACATTGGAGTGTCAAGATGTCAGCAATACTAGGATAGCAACAGGAAGAATCAACATATCAGGAACTTCAGTGAATGGATGGATAAGATTATGATGTCTTCTGATAACATGTGATTTTTCTATAAATCATTAACATAGTATTGCAATGTTTCATCAATATATGGTTTGTTATGCTCAATCATGCACTTCTTTTATTAGAAGAATAAGGACAAGAGAGGAAAGATGTGTGTAATACACTTTGGTTTTTTAGAATCAACTAAGGTAAAAAATCAAGTGGGACAGAAATAAATAGAGCTGGTTATCACAATGAATTATATTTGTTCGATATAATGTCGTCAATAAAAAGGGTTGGGGTGGTCATGACAATTAAAGTAATGTTGATCTTTTTTTTGGCGTCAAGGATATTTGGAATTTTTTCTCTGATGATACTTTTTTAGTGAAAGATAGTAATGGGGAAAGTTATTCTAGGGTTTTCAACCCAGAATAATATAATTATTATGTTTAATCATCAAACAATTAATCAACCCAATTACCCATCCCCATTATCTTCTTTACTCGTAAGGATGTACGCTAAGAATCAACTATTCCTTGTTCATTTATTCCTAAGGATCATCCTAAGGAATTGGCACGAAGTCCATAGTTACCAAGGTTTATGGATTACAACTGGTGAGCATGTAGTCCAAAACATCTGGTAAACACTTAGTTCAAAAAAAACTAGTGAACACACTTAGTTGAAAAAAAAAAACTAGTGAACACACTCAGTTCAAAATACCTAGTGAACACACTCAGTTCAAAGATACATAGTGAAAACACTCAGTTCAAAAATACCTAATGAGCACCTAGTTCAAAAACATGTACAAGTTACGAGCCTGCTAGCGTTCCACTGGATTGTCTAGTATAGTCGTGGTCGTCATCTATACTCCACTAGAGGACTGGATCATTGTCAACATTGATGTATTTCATCATGTTATCACACATCAACTATTTCATCTACCCATGTTTTACCCAAAACATTTTGTAGATATAATATACATATACATTTTAAATGATTTAAAAAATGTATAAAAATATTTCACCCAACATAGACAACAAGTATTCAGACAATATGCACACATAGCACGTAATTTATATTAAAATACTTCATATCTATGTGTAAGATGAAAGGGACTATGCACTCACGATACGTAATTTATATTAAATACTTAATATCTATGTGTAAGATGAAAAGGAACATGCACTCACCTGATAAGGTGGTGACTCGGTACTCAGACGACACTTCATTTACTTTAAACAACTCCTTTGATAGAACGGCGGGTTTTTATTAAAAAATTGGGCTTCACTGGAGCAGCGTTTCCGAGCCGAAAGCTTTTCTTCTTGGAGTCGTCGGGCGCTCCAGGGCTTCCTTCTCGTGCTAGGGAAGTTCCCTAGACTTGGGAGGTGTATAAGGAGGCTAGAGATAAGTTAGAGAGAGAAAGAAAGGTTATGGTGTGAAGAAATTATGAAGGGTTCATCTCTTATTTATAGGAGTTTTATCGTAGAGTAGTCCCTAAGCTTCATCTGTATCTTCGGCGTACGAGCTCCGTTTTCTAAGTTCTTTATATCCACGTGTTGGTATTTACGAGCACTACAACTTTCATCTAGACCCCGTTGGCTAATTCTCATTCTATCTCAGATTTACAAAACTGTATTCGAATTTGTCGCACTTGAAGAGTAGAGACTAAGCTTCGTTCATATCTTTCGCTTACGAGCTCCGTTTTCGATGTTATTTATCATTTAACTCCTATTAACTATATCTTCATTTCTCATTTAGATTATTTTGGCTAAAAATCGACCGATCAAAAACTCGAATTTCTAGGCTATTTACTGTTATGCTAAATCTTAGAAAAACCGTAACTTCCTCATGCGAAGTCAGATTTGGATGTTCTTTTTATGCACGCTCTCAGTTTAACATATACTATGAATTTTTTTAGATTGCTATTGCTAGAAAGAATTTTATCGTAAATTAACTTTTTACGATTCTTGGTGTCGTGCCGGTTTTGCCGTAAAACTTCGCCGAGTCATAACTTCTTCGTTATAACTCGGATTTCAGCGTTCTTTATATGTACAAAACCCTTGAAACATATTCTACCAATTTTTTAAGATTATTCCTTATAAGTAATCTTCCATCAAAAACTCATTTTTGATGCTCTTTATCTCTAAATTGACCAGCCCGGATTTACGGGCATTACAAAAATCTTATTTTTTTAGATTGCCAATGATCATCCTTTTTGTAGTGAACTAGAAATTTCTTTTTATCGGAATTCTAGTGATCTGAATAGTGAATTTAAGAGTAAGAATCCTATAATTAGGGATGTATTAAAGACGCTCCCCAAAAAGGGAATTGATCTATGGTCGAATCAATGATTTTTCGTTCACTGGAACCAGAAGTAAAAATTTTGATGGATAGGGATCAGATAAAAACTTCATTTGAGGAATGGGCTAGTCCAAGTCATTTCTCAAGAACAATAATGATCGGCATAGAATGTCGAAGTTTTATCAATGTATGTGAAATACAGTGAATCATTAACTGTTAGGAAGTAAAGTGGATAACTAGCAAAACTATAAGCACACAAGACACAATATTTACGTGGTTTGGTCAAGGTGACCTACATCCATGGGTATGACGGGAGTATTCTTTTATTTTAGAGCTCTCAAACAGAGGTTACAAGTACAATTACACAGATATTTACCTATCACTCTACAATTCAAGATACAAAATGACCTAGCATGCATCCTTATTTATAGTTGAGGGATCAAACCTAAAACCATAATGGGCCAAACCTATTAGCCCGTAGACCCATGCAAGGTGTCAACCAATCACAATCCTCCATACACCATCTTCTGGAACATTCTTGAGCGTCATAAAGGACTTTATAACATACTTGGCTCAACAAGGCACAATAGAGGAATCAATATGGCGCATCATGTACCAAGATGGCCCGTAATGGCACAATATCTTCTCCATTTTGCAACATCATCTCCAGAAGGCGCAACAACGAGTATGGATGGTGAAATAGGCATCAAGAGTGGCGCAAGAATATCAAGCTTTGAGCACAACATCACCTTTGCACAACAAGCACATGTATGGCGCAACAAGGTCATGCATGGCGTAACTAAAAGCTTCATGGCGTAAGAGTGAACATGATGGCACAAGAGAGAAGCCCATGGCACAAGAGTATCACTCTTAGCCCATCCCTTTTATCATATGGCATAATAAGGCTCCCTTGTTGCTCCATATCACTCCCAAGTGCTCCAAACTTCTTCCAATTGCTCCAATTCCCCTTTTGTGTGATCTGTTCCTTTGGCACTCGATCCATTCCTTTGTCAGGCGATCCATTCCTTTTTCAGATGATCCGCTCCTTTTTCACATGTTCTGTGAACCTCAAGTGCTCAATAGAGTTCCATGTGCTCCAAATGCTCCATGAACAAGATCCAAATGCTCGAGTCACATTTAAAATTAACCTCTTTGATAGAATATTTTTTGGGCGAGAATTGATTTGTGTGTGTAATACATCACGGTACATGATATACCCATTAACATAGATTTGTTAAGTTCTCATCAGCATCTGGTTTTATACACAACATCATAAAACTTTAAAGAAGAACATAGTCTAACCATCAACACAAAATTTTCAAGTTCTAATCCGCTTCTGGTTTCATACATGAAATCATAAACCTTCAAAGAAGAAATATGGTTAGAGTGTGTTGGTGCGTATGATAAACTACAATACATAGTCTAACCATTGGCACATATTTTTCAAACTTTCATCAACGTTTGGTTTCATATGCTGAATCATAAAGCTTTATGGGAGAGAAATGGAATGTTTCAATCATATTGAGGCGAAATAGTGTGAATCATAAATAGTGTCAGCTCATCAACAAGAATTGGCTTAAATTTCATATCATAGAGGACTTCATATGTAACGCCCGTATATTAGGGCCAGATAATTTAGAGACAATAAGCATCAAAAATGACTTTTTGATGAAAGATTATTTAGAATGAGTAATCTTAACTAAGTTATAGTATATGTTACAAGGATTCCGTACATATAAAGAACGCTGAAATCCGAGTTATAACGAAGAAGTTATGACCTGTCGAACTTTCGCGAAAGAACCGACACGACGCAGAACGACGTAAAATAAGAATTCAAGATAGAACGATATCTATCCTTAGTAATCTAAATTAAAGTTGAAGAGTTCGTTAAACCAAGAGCGTGCATAAAATGAACACCCAAATCTGACTTTGTATGAAGAAGTTATGATTTTCCGAAGTTCGACTTAGCGGTATGCAGCCCGAATACTCGAATATGAGATCGAGTGATTTTTAGCCGAAATAATCTAAACAATAATTGAATATCTCGTTAATAGTAGTGAAACGATAAAAAGATAGGTGAAAACGGACGTCGGATGAAGAAGTTATGAATTTATAACGGAGTTTTCCTGTCCCGGCCTACTAAAAATAATATATAAGTAATATATTTACAATATATTAAAAATAAAATCAAAATTAGCCAACGGAGTCTAAACAAGAGTTGTAGATCATAATCTCACCTATGCATCGATATAAAGAACGTCGAAAACAAAGTTCGTATGCAACAGTTATGAATTTCTGAAGTTCGGGGCGCGAACCCCAAAGTTGTGTCAGAGACCATGACATGGCAAGCAGTGCCACGATGTGGAAACTATTCTGACACCTCCTGGAGTCCCCCAGATGCAACATGCGTTGACGCATGCAGTGACGACCAAGCCCACGACGTGGAAAAAGGTGCCA